CTTTTACAAAATACAAATCTTAAACAGAATAATTAATCGTCCAATTCCTTGTATTTATTTTTATAGAAATATAATTTGGTTATATAATTAGAGAGTGTCATCTTTTGCAAAAACATGTCTATTGACACCCTCACATTATTTACAGAGTATAGATCACATTATTTCCAATAAATTTTGCGTTATATTTTTCTAGGTTTATGAATATATAAAGGTTAAAACATCTTGAACATTTGTAGATCACATTACTTAAAGGTAATCCAATAACTGCGGTTAATTTAGTATATGACGTTTCAGAGCATGTACTTGGCATCTATTATGTACGTATCCTACTCATTGGAAAATTCTCCATGTTGTATTTGTGTATTGATAGTTGATCTAGAAAAATATAGTTAAGGAAGACTATGTAAAACAAAGAACTCCATTATTTTAAAAAGTTGCCAGAAAAAGATATGAAATAAATAGAAAACCAAGTGTCTAGCAAAATAAAAACACATGGAGAACATAAGCTCGATCCTTATTGAAAACAATTAATTATTGGAGACTCTTCTGCATGCTACGCTTAACGTCAATTCTCGGTGAGTTGGTGGAGCTTAGCTTCCCTTTTATTTGCTTCAGGATGCTGGCTAATTAGTCCATCCGGATTGACCAGCTCTCTACTGGCCTCTGTAGGAAGTTGCTTGGGGCAATGCTTCTTCGAAGTGGAAGATCCGGCTGGGACACCATGCATTGATTCAAAATCACGCTTCGGTGATGGGGTTGAGCCATCATCTGAAATGCTTTGGCTGTTACTCTTGACAACCGACAACTAAAACATAGGTGAGGATGAAAAGATTAATCAAAGTTCATATTATGTTGATTACAATAAAAAATGGGTTTAACGTGAATGTAAGAAAACAGGGTGTGTGATATACCTCTATTTTACATGCTTTTTATATGGTTTTACTATGCTTTTCATAAGCTTTTTAATGGCTCTCTGATCTAAAAAGGTAGTTTTTATGGATTTATAGTACTTAGAGTCTAAACAGGTCAAAAGATGCATTTTGGAGCAAAACACATGATTTGGACTTCAAGACCGCTCCAGGAGGTAGCATCAACTTAAGAAGGGCCTTAAAAACTATCTACTCAATGGAATTCATCAAATCGAGTTCGAGGAGATGAATACAGGAGTTAGCTTTGCAATGCAACTGAAATCAATCAATTTTACCGAGTAGATTGGGAGATATCTCTATTTCCCTGAGACATATACCGAGGAGATTTATCGGACTGCATCAGTACATCAGACGAGCAGCAGCGGATTAGACCCTTAAACTCAATGGATTTCAATGAAACTCAACACCAAGATAGCCAGATGAGTTATTGTTCTAATGCCGTTGTAAGTATGCAATTTGGATAAGCCGTTTAGGAGATATCACGTTTGTACTGAAGACTGGTCCACAGCCGGCCGAACGCACTCGGCCGGACAGGAAGGGTATTGGCTTCGCTCGGCCTTCTCCAGGACCGATCCGGCCGCACGACCGCACCGTCCGACCCGGGAGGCAATGGACCACGATCGACCGAGATCATCGCATCACGGTCGACCAGACCGAAAATCCAGGTTATCATCCGAAAATCCTCCAAAAACATCATCGTCATCTGGTGAGATATCCTGCAGTACTCTCCTTCCACGTTGTCTCTTCCTCTTTTGTAAGTTCTGTAACCTTGACTCATTTTCACCTGACCATGGAAACCAAATCCTCATCATGATTCTACTTCATCAATTAGACAATAAAATAAAAAAAGGAGATGGGTGCATGTTACCGGTTCTGAGTTTGGATCTACATTTTCATTGTTACTTGAGGTCAATTTCCTCTTCCTCGTGACTGGAGGTTTAGTGTTCTTATTAAACTTGTCACTCAAGCTTAAAATATAACAATTGAGATTCCCGGTTTCACCAAACTTTTCAAATATATAAACATTCCCACCTATATAAAGAACTAACTTTTACAAAATACAAATCTTAAACAGAATAATTAATCGTCCAATTCCTTGTATTTTTATAGAAATATAATTTGGTTATATAATTAGAGAGTGTCATCTTTTGCAAAAACATGTCTATTGACACCCTCACATTATTTACAGAGTATAGATCACATTATTTCCAATAAATTTTGCGTTATATTTTTCTAGGTTTATGAATATATAAAGGTTAAAACATCTTGAACATTTGTAGATCACATTACTTAAAGGTAATCCAATAACTGCGGTTAATTTAGTATATGACGTTTCAGAGCATGTACTTGGCATCTATTATGTACGTATCCTACTCATTGGAAAATTCTCCATGTTGTATTTGTGTATTGATAGTTGATCTAGAAAAATATAGTTAAGGAAGACTATGTAAAACAAAGAACTCCATTATTTTAAAAAGTTGCCAGAAAAAGATATGAAATAAATAGAAAACCAAGTGTCTAGCAAAATAAAAACACATGGAGAACATAAGCTCGATCCTTATTGAAAACAATTAATTATTGGAGACTCTTCTGCATGCTACGCTTAACGTCAATTCTCGGTGAGTTGGTGGAGCTTAGCTTCCCTTTTATTTGCTTCAGGATGCTGGCTAATTAGTCCATCCGGATTGACCAGCTCTCTACTGGCCTCTGTAGGAAGTTGCTTGGGGCAATGCTTCTTCGAAGTGGAAGATCCGGCTGGGACACCATGCATTGATTCAAAATCACGCTTCGGTGATGGGGTTGAGCCATCATCTGAAATGCTTTGGCTGTTACTCTTGACAACCGACAACTAAAACATAGGTGAGGATGAAAAGATTAATCAAAGTTCATATTATGTTGATTACAATAAAAAATGGGTTTAACGTGAATGTAAGAAAACAGGGTGTGTGATATACCTCTATTTTACATGCTTTTTATATGGTTTTACTATGCTTTTCATAAGCTTTTTAATGGCTCTCTGATCTAAAAAGGTAGTTTTTATGGATTTATAGTACTTAGAGTCTAAACAGGTCAAAAGATGCATTTTGGAGCAAAACACATGATTTGGACTTCAAGACCGCTCCAGGAGGTAGCATCAACTTAAGAAGGGCCTTAAAAACTATCTACTCAATGGAATTCATCAAATCGAGTTCGAGGAGATGAATACAGGAGTTAGCTTTGCAATGCAACTGAAATCAATCAATTTTACCGAGTAGATTGGGAGATATCTCTATTTCCCTGAGACATATACCGAGGAGATTTATCGGACTGCATCAGTACATCAGACGAGCAGCAGCGGATTAGACCCTTAAACTCAATGGATTTCAATGAAACTCAACACCAAGATAGCCAGATGAGTTATTGTTCTAATGCCGTTGTAAGTATGCAATTTGGATAAGCCGTTTAGGAGATATCACGTTTGTACTGAAGACTGGTCCACAGCCGGCCGAACGCACTCGGCCGGACAGGAAGGGTATTGGCTTCGCTCGGCCTTCTCCAGGACCGATCCGGCCGCACGACCGCACCGTCCGACCCGGGAGGCAATGGACCACGATCGACCGAGATCATCGCATCACGGTCGACCAGACCGAAAATCCAGGTTATCATCCGAAAATCCTCCAAAAACATCATCGTCATCTGGTGAGATATCCTGCAGTACTCTCCTTCCACGTTGTCTCTTCCTCTTTTGTAAGTTCTGTAACCTTGACTCATTTTCACCTGACCATGGAAACCAAATCCTCATCATGATTCTACTTCATCAATTAGACAATAAAATAAAAAAAGGAGATGGGTGCATGTTACCGGTTCTGAGTTTGGATCTACATTTTCATTGTTACTTGAGGTCAATTTCCTCTTCCTCGTGACTGGAGGTTTAGTGTTCTTATTAAACTTGTCACTCAAGCTTAAAATATAACAATTGAGATTCCCGGTTTCACCAAACTTTTCAAATATATAAACATTCCCACCTATATAAAGAACTAACTTTTACAAAATACAAATCTTAAACAGAATAATTAATCGTCCAATTCCTTGTATTTTTATAGAAATATAATTTGGTTATATAATTAGAGAGTGTCATCTTTTGCAAAAACATGTCTATTGACACCCTCACATTATTTACAGAGTATAGATCACATTATTTCCAATAAATTTTGCGTTATATTTTTCTAGGTTTATGAATATATAAAGGTTAAAACATCTTGAACATTTGTAGATCACATTACTTAAAGGTAATCCAATAACTGCGGTTAATTTAGTATATGACGTTTCAGAGCATGTACTTGGCATCTATTATGTACGTATCCTACTCATTGGAAAATTCTCCATGTTGTATTTGTGTATTGATAGTTGATCTAGAAAAATATAGTTAAGGAAGACAATGTAAAACAAAGAACTCCATTATTTTAAAAAGTTGCCAGAAAAAGATATGAAATAAATAGAAAACCAAGTGTCTAGCAAAATAAAAACACATGGAGAACATAAGCTCGATCCTTATTGAAAACAATTAATTATTGGAGACTCTTCTGCATGCTACGCTTAACGTCAATTCTCGGTGAGTTGGTGGAGCTTAGCTTCCCTTTTATTTGCTTCAGGATGCTGGCTAATTAGTCCATCCGGATTGACCAGCTCTCTACTGGCCTCTGTAGGAAGTTGCTTGGGGCAATGCTTCTTCGAAGTGGAAGATCCGGCTGGGACACCATGCATTGATTCAAAATCACGCTTCGGTGATGGGGTTGAGCCATCATCTGAAATGCTTTGGCTGTTACTCTTGACAACCGACAACTAAAACATAGGTGAGGATGAAAAGATTAATCAAAGTTCATATTATGTTGATTACAATAAAAAATGGGTTTAACGTGAATGTAAGAAAACAGGGTGTGTGATATACCTCTATTTTACATGCTTTTTATATGGTTTTACTATGCTTTTCATAAGCTTTTTAATGGCTCTCTGATCTAAAAAGGTAGTTTTTATGGATTTATAGTACTTAGAGTCTAAACAGGTCAAAAGATGCATTTTGGAGCAAAACACATGATTTGGACTTCAAGACCGCTCCAGGAGGTAGCATCAACTTAAGAAGGGCCTTAAAAACTATCTACTCAATGGAATTCATCAAATCGAGTTCGAGGAGATGAATACAGGAGTTAGCTTTGCAATGCAACTGAAATCAATCAATTTTACCGAGTAGATTGGGAGATATCTCTATTTCCCTGAGACATATACCGAGGAGATTTATCGGACTGCATCAGTACATCAGACGAGCAGCAGCGGATTAGACCCTTAAACTCAATGGATTTCAATGAAACTCAACACCAAGATAGCCAGATGAGTTATTGTTCTAATGCCGTTGTAAGTATGCAATTTGGATAAGCCGTTTAGGAGATATCACGTTTGTACTGAAGACTGGTCCACAGCCGGCCGAACGCACTCGGCCGGACAGGAAGGGTATTGGCTTCGCTCGGCCTTCTCCAGGACCGATCCGGCCGCACGACCGCACCGTCCGACCCGGGAGGCAATGGACCACGATCGACCGAGATCATCGCATCACCAGGTTATCATCCGAAAATCCTCCAAAAACATCATCGTCATCTGGTGAGATATCCTGCAGTACTCTCCTTCCACGTTGTCTCTTCCTCTTTTGTAAGTTCTGTAACCTTGACTCATTTTCACCTGACCATGGAAACCAAATCCTCATCATGATTCTACTTCATCAATTAGACAATAAAATAAAAAAAGGAGATGGGTGCATGTTACCGGTTCTGAGTTTGGATCTACATTTTCATTGTTACTTGAGGTCAATTTCCTCTTCCTCGTGACTGGAGGTTTAGTGTTCTTATTAAACTTGTCACTCAAGCTTAAAATATAACAATTGAGATTCCCGGTTTCACCAAACTTTTCAAATATATAAACATTCCCACCTATATAAAGAACTAACTTTTACAAAATACAAATCTTAAACAGAATAATTAATCGTCCAATTCCTTGTATTTTTATAGAAATATAATTTGGTTATATAATTAGAGAGTGTCATCTTTTGCAAAAACATGTCTATTGACACCCTCACATTATTTACAGAGTATAGATCACATTATTTCCAATAAATTTTGCGTTATATTTTTCTAGGTTTATGAATATATAAAGGTTAAAACATCTTGAACATTTGTAGATCACATTACTTAAAGGTAATCCAATAACTGCGGTTAATTTAGTATATGACGTTTCAGAGCATGTACTTGGCATCTATTATGTACGTATCCTACTCATTGGAAAATTCTCCATGTTGTATTTGTGTATTGATAGTTGATCTAGAAAAATATAGTTAAGGAAGACAATGTAAAACAAAGAACTCCATTATTTTAAAAAGTTGCCAGAAAAAGATATGAAATAAATAGAAAACCAAGTGTCTAGCAAAATAAAAACACATGGAGAACATAAGCTCGATCCTTATTGAAAACAATTAATTATTGGAGACTCTTCTGCATGCTACGCTTAACGTCAATTCTCGGTGAGTTGGTGGAGCTTAGCTTCCCTTTTATTTGCTTCAGGATGCTGGCTAATTAGTCCATCCGGATTGACCAGCTCTCTACTGGCCTCTGTAGGAAGTTGCTTGGGGCAATGCTTCTTCGAAGTGGAAGATCCGGCTGGGACACCATGCATTGATTCAAAATCACGCTTCGGTGATGGGGTTGAGCCATCATCTGAAATGCTTTGGCTGTTACTCTTGACAACCGACAACTAAAACATAGGTGAGGATGAAAAGATTAATCAAAGTTCATATTATGTTGATTACAATAAAAAATGGGTTTAACGTGAATGTAAGAAAACAGGGTGTGTGATATACCTCTATTTTACATGCTTTTTATATGGTTTTACTATGCTTTTCATAAGCTTTTTAATGGCTCTCTGATCTAAAAAGGTAGTTTTTATGGATTTATAGTACTTAGAGTCTAAACAGGTCAAAAGATGCATTTTGGAGCAAAACACATGATTTGGACTTCAAGACCGCTCCAGGAGGTAGCATCAACTTAAGAAGGGCCTTAAAAACTATCTACTCAATGGAATTCATCAAATCGAGTTCGAGGAGATGAATACAGGAGTTAGCTTTGCAATGCAACTGAAATCAATCAATTTTACCGAGTAGATTGGGAGATATCTCTATTTCCCTGAGACATATACCGAGGAGATTTATCGGACTGCATCAGTACATCAGACGAGCAGCAGCGGATTAGACCCTTAAACTCAATGGATTTCAATGAAACTCAACACCAAGATAGCCAGATGAGTTATTGTTCTAATGCCGTTGTAAGTATGCAATTTGGATAAGCCGTTTAGGAGATATCACGTTTGTACTGAAGACTGGTCCACAGCCGGCCGAACGCACTCGGCCGGACAGGAAGGGTATTGGCTTCGCTCGGCCTTCTCCAGGACCGATCCGGCCGCACGACCGCACCGTCCGACCCGGGAGGCAATGGACCACGATCGACCGAGATCATCGCATCACGGTCGACCAGACCGAAAATCCAGGTTATCATCCGAAAATCCTCCAAAAACATCATCGTCATCTGGTGAGATATCCTGCAGTACTCTCCTTCCACGTTGTCTCTTCCTCTTTTGTAAGTTCTGTAACCTTGACTCATTTTCACCTGACCATGGAAACCAAATCCTCATCATGATTCTACTTCATCAATTAGACAATAAAATAAAAAAAGGAGATGGGTGCATGTTACCGGTTCTGAGTTTGGATCTACATTTTCATTGTTACTTGAGGTCAATTTCCTCTTCCTCGTGACTGGAGGTTTAGTGTTCTTATTAAACTTGTCACTCAAGCTTAAAATATAACAATTGAGATTCCCGGTTTCACCAAACTTTTCAAATATATAAACATTCCCACCTATATAAAGAACTAACTTTTACAAAATACAAATCTTAAACAGAATAATTAATCGTCCAATTCCTTGTATTTTTATAGAAATATAATTTGGTTATATAATTAGAGAGTGTCATCTTTTGCAAAAACATGTCTATTGACACCCTCACATTATTTACAGAGTATAGATCACATTATTTCCAATAAATTTTGCGTTATATTTTTCTAGGTTTATGAATATATAAAGGTTAAAACATCTTGAACATTTGTAGATCACATTACTTAAAGGTAATCCAATAACTGCGGTTAATTTAGTATATGACGTTTCAGAGCATGTACTTGGCATCTATTATGTACGTATCCTACTCATTGGAAAATTCTCCATGTTGTATTTGTGTATTGATAGTTGATCTAGAAAAATATAGTTAAGGAAGACAATGTAAAACAAAGAACTCCATTATTTTAAAAAGTTGCCAGAAAAAGATATGAAATAAATAGAAAACCAAGTGTCTAGCAAAATAAAAACACATGGAGAACATAAGCTCGATCCTTATTGAAAACAATTAATTATTGGAGACTCTTCTGCATGCTACGCTTAACGTCAATTCTCGGTGAGTTGGTGGAGCTTAGCTTCCCTTTTATTTGCTTCAGGATGCTGGCTAATTAGTCCATCCGGATTGACCAGCTCTCTACTGGCCTCTGTAGGAAGTTGCTTGGGGCAATGCTTCTTCGAAGTGGAAGATCCGGCTGGGACACCATGCATTGATTCAAAATCACGCTTCGGTGATGGGGTTGAGCCATCATCTGAAATGCTTTGGCTGTTACTCTTGACAACCGACAACTAAAACATAGGTGAGGATGAAAAGATTAATCAAAGTTCATATTATGTTGATTACAATAAAAAATGGGTTTAACGTGAATGTAAGAAAACAGGGTGTGTGATATACCTCTATTTTACATGCTTTTTATATGGTTTTACTATGCTTTTCATAAGCTTTTTAATGGCTCTCTGATCTAAAAAGGTAGTTTTTATGGATTTATAGTACTTAGAGTCTAAACAGGTCAAAAGATGCATTTTGGAGCAAAACACATGATTTGGACTTCAAGACCGCTCCAGGAGGTAGCATCAACTTAAGAAGGGCCTTAAAAACTATCTACTCAATGGAATTCATCAAATCGAGTTCGAGGAGATGAATACAGGAGTTAGCTTTGCAATGCAACTGAAATCAATCAATTTTACCGAGTAGATTGGGAGATATCTCTATTTCCCTGAGACATATACCGAGGAGATTTATCGGACTGCATCAGTACATCAGACGAGCAGCAGCGGATTAGACCCTTAAACTCAATGGATTTCAATGAAACTCAACACCAAGATAGCCAGATGAGTTATTGTTCTAATGCCGTTGTAAGTATGCAATTTGGATAAGCCGTTTAGGAGATATCACGTTTGTACTGAAGACTGGTCCACAGCCGGCCGAACGCACTCGGCCGGACAGGAAGGGTATTGGCTTCGCTCGGCCTTCTCCAGGACCGATCCGGCCGCACGACCGCACCGTCCGACCCGGGAGGCAATGGACCACGATCGACCGAGATCATCGCATCACGGTCGACCAGACCGAAAATCCAGGTTATCATCCGAAAATCCTCCAAAAACATCATCGTCATCTGGTGAGATATCCTGCAGTACTCTCCTTCCACGTTGTCTCTTCCTCTTTTGTAAGTTCTGTAACCTTGACTCATTTTCACCTGACCATGGAAACCAAATCCTCATCATGATTCTACTTCATCAATTAGACAATAAAATAAAAAAAGGAGATGGGTGCATGTTACCGGTTCTGAGTTTGGATCTACATTTTCATTGTTACTTGAGGTCAATTTCCTCTTCCTCGTGACTGGAGGTTTAGTGTTCTTATTAAACTTGTCACTCAAGCTTAAAATATAACAATTGAGATTCCCGGTTTCACCAAACTTTTCAAATATATAAACATTCCCACCTATATAAAGAACTAACTTTTACAAAATACAAATCTTAAACAGAATAATTAATCGTCCAATTCCTTGTATTTTTATAGAAATATAATTTGGTTATATAATTAGAGAGTGTCATCTTTTGCAAAAACATGTCTATTGACACCCTCACATTATTTACAGAGTATAGATCACATTATTTCCAATAAATTTTGCGTTATATTTTTCTAGGTTTATGAATATATAAAGGTTAAAACATCTTGAACATTTGTAGATCACATTACTTAAAGGTAATCCAATAACTGCGGTTAATTTAGTATATGACGTTTCAGAGCATGTACTTGGCATCTATTATGTACGTATCCTACTCATTGGAAAATTCTCCATGTTGTATTTGTGTATTGATAGTTGATCTAGAAAAATATAGTTAAGGAAGACAATGTAAAACAAAGAACTCCATTATTTTAAAAAGTTGCCAGAAAAAGATATGAAATAAATAGAAAACCAAGTGTCTAGCAAAATAAAAACACATGGAGAACATAAGCTCGATCCTTATTGAAAACAATTAATTATTGGAGACTCTTCTGCATGCTACGCTTAACGTCAATTCTCGGTGAGTTGGTGGAGCTTAGCTTCCCTTTTATTTGCTTCAGGATGCTGGCTAATTAGTCCATCCGGATTGACCAGCTCTCTACTGGCCTCTGTAGGAAGTTGCTTGGGGCAATGCTTCTTCGAAGTGGAAGATCCGGCTGGGACACCATGCATTGATTCAAAATCACGCTTCGGTGATGGGGTTGAGCCATCATCTGAAATGCTTTGGCTGTTACTCTTGACAACCGACAACTAAAACATAGGTGAGGATGAAAAGATTAATCAAAGTTCATATTATGTTGATTACAATAAAAAATGGGTTTAACGTGAATGTAAGAAAACAGGGTGTGTGATATACCTCTATTTTACATGCTTTTTATATGGTTTTACTATGCTTTTCATAAGCTTTTTAATGGCTCTCTGATCTAAAAAGGTAGTTTTTATGGATTTATAGTACTTAGAGTCTAAACAGGTCAAAAGATGCATTTTGGAGCAAAACACATGATTTGGACTTCAAGACCGCTCCAGGAGGTAGCATCAACTTAAGAAGGGCCTTAAAAACTATCTACTCAATGGAATTCATCAAATCGAGTTCGAGGAGATGAATACAGGAGTTAGCTTTGCAATGCAACTGAAATCAATCAATTTTACCGAGTAGATTGGGAGATATCTCTATTTCCCTGAGACATATACCGAGGAGATTTATCGGACTGCATCAGTACATCAGACGAGCAGCAGCGGATTAGACCCTTAAACTCAATGGATTTCAATGAAACTCAACACCAAGATAGCCAGATGAGTTATTGTTCTAATGCCGTTGTAAGTATGCAATTTGGATAAGCCGTTTAGGAGATATCACGTTTGTACTGAAGACTGGTCCACAGCCGGCCGAACGCACTCGGCCGGACAGGAAGGGTATTGGCTTCGCTCGGCCTTCTCCAGGACCGATCCGGCCGCACGACCGCACCGTCCGACCCGGGAGGCAATGGACCACGATCGACCGAGATCATCGCATCACGGTCGACCAGACCGAAAATCCAGGTTATCATCCGAAAATCCTCCAAAAACATCATCGTCATCTGGTGAGATATCCTGCAGTACTCTCCTTCCACGTTGTCTCTTCCTCTTTTGTAAGTTCTGTAACCTTGACTCATTTTCACCTGACCATGGAAACCAAATCCTCATCATGATTCTACTTCATCAATTAGACAATAAAATAAAAAAAGGAGATGGGTGCATGTTACCGGTTCTGAGTTTGGATCTACATTTTCATTGTTACTTGAGGTCAATTTCCTCTTCCTCGTGACTGG